CATGAGGAAGCCCAATGCTCCCCATGAGGTGTGACGTTTCCCCTACTTAGATAAATCGAAATTGAGTTCGGGTTTAGAGCTATGATACGCAATAGTCCTAAATATTCACGGAAGTGTAAGCATTAACTAAAGAGAAAACCATTTTTCATTTTTTTCTTTTTGAAATAACATTATGAAATATAAATTAAATAAGATCGAACTCATAATTTCCATAACCCTAAATATAGGGCAACCAACACGTGACTCGACTCTCAAGTTGTTAAAAGAACAAAATGTCCCCAACAGAGTCGCTAAGCCGTCGACACTATTTTTCGCCCGAGGGGGGACAAACTTAGTACGAATTAGGGATTTTCTTTGAAAAGATTTTGAAATGTGAGGATTCACCACCAATCATTTTAAGGTGCGATTGGGACACCATAAAAATCGGGTGATTTTAATAAAACATTTTATTTTTATAAAAATACAAAGTTTAGGGTCTACGAAAACCATAAAATAGGTTCAGGAGTCAGTTACGTGTGGGGAAGGATGAGCACCCCCACAGCGCCCAAAAATTGGTACCTGGTTGATTACCATATATTTAGAATTGAAAATTTTGAGTTCGAACTTTATCTAATTTAAAAATCATTACAGATGCAAAGTTGAAAAGGTTATTCGTTTATTAAAGCCTACAACATTCTCTCCCTAGCATAAATGCGGGAGATCAAATATTGTGCCTAATAACAAAACATTGCCTTGATATTTTAGAAATCCTAATGCAGTCTTGAAAATAATGTGACCTATTTCAGAAATCACCAGTAGTCACTCCTTGAGCATACTTGTGGGAGATATACTATTGACCCCCTAATAAGTGAACATTACCTTAGGTTTTAAAACATGATATAATCAAACAATTTATTATTAACCCTAATTAAACTAATAGTAGATAAAGGCTTTCTCTATCTTAAAGTGTTAAATTATGAAAATTAATGAACCTAGAGGCCCAAACCTGAAAATGTAGTCTCTAATTGAACCTAGATTAATTTTAATCAATTATTAAATTGAATAATCGATATGGTCCCTTGAGCTTTTAGGCGAGCGCCAATCTCAGATTACTCCTTAAATTAAAAGAACTAGATTGAATCTAAATAAAGTAGAGGCTCTAATAAATGACCTATTTAATTATATTAATATAAATATCTAATTGAAGTTTTAAGGACAAAAATGTGTGAGAACTAAAATCTAGAGTTCTAAATGTAAAAACAATCTAAAGTTTAAGGACCTAAGTGTAAGTAAGTTAAAGTAAAAGGGATAAATATATAATACCTAAAGTTTAAGGACTAGCAAATAAATAAAGGTTCTAATTATTATCCTAATTAACTAATTAAAAATTAAGGGATTAAATTAAAATAATTTTAAAAATATGTCGGTGATTAACAAATTAAGGATTCAAACAATTGACTCTAGTAAAGGGGGATTTTATGCGAAAACTCGAATCAAATTGTTCCCTAATTAAAACTAGGATGAGACCCTAATTACTAAACAAAATTTGGTTAACAAATCTAATCTAAGGACAAATTCTAAAAACTAATTGAATAAAAAATTAGAAATACAAATACGAATAAAAACCCAATTAAATAAATTAAATAAAAAATAAACAAGAAAAATATTTAAAATAAAAAATGCAAGGATTAAATTGCATTAGCATTAAATTATAGTAAAAAATAAATTAAACATGTAAAATAAGGACTGTATTTAAATAAATTAAAATTGAGTATTAAATAAAAAAATAGGATAGTGACCAAAATACAAAACACGTTGAAACTGAAGGGACTAAATAATAATTATTCTTTTTTGCAAGCTTAAAATACACTATTAAATAAAAATGCAAAAATTACAAAATCAATCCAACAAAATTAGAATAAAATTAAATAATCACTATAGGTGACTAGGTTGCAAAAACACGCTAAACTATCGGGGACTAAATAGTAAATAACCCAATCAATATATAACATGCATGAAAAAGGGGTAAATAACAAGTTTGGTCCTCGCAGGTGACCAAAGTGCAAAAATGCGCTAAACTTAGAGGGATTTAAACGTGATTTTACCCAAACTTTTTCTATAAAACACACTTTTTTTTAACCCGAAGCCCCAAAAAAATCTAAAAATTCTCTCAACTTTCTCCTCTCTCTCCCTCGGCCGATTACCTAATGGACTTTACCACCTCCGCCCTAACCGTGTGTGGTAGTCGGAGATCCTAAACGAACCCAAAATAAACCTACAACCCTCATTTCACTCTCCTAAACCTAGATCTAGGGCCTAAATCACCTAACAAGACCCCAAAAACCCTTCAAAGTTTTGGCTTTCCCACCTCCATCGACCGCGAAGATGAATAAGCCTTTCGGTTCGACTCCCCTCTTAGGTAACTCTATATATCCCCTCTTCTTTTATTTTTTTCCCATAAATATGTATTTGTATTCGAAACTAAAAAAAGAATTTTCTACCTTTAATTTTTTTTGCTTGTATTGCTTCGAAAATCTAAAAAGGGAATCCCTTTTTACAAAAACTGATTTAGGGTTTTATACTCATTTTACATCGATAAAAAATAAAATAAAATAAAAAACCTAATCCCTAACTTTTCTGACCATCAGTGTTTGGTGATGATTTGCATTTTTAATGCCCCGTATTTTCCGGGGTTTGCTGGATTTGATATGATGTTTTTTTTGTGATGCTGAGATAATGATGGTGGAATAATGAAGATGGTCGGCCCAACAAACGACGGGTTGCGATGTCAGCGGCTGTGATCTCAACTTTGGCGGCGACGACGGTCGATGATAAAAAGGGTTAGGGTTAGGTAAGAGTATTGGGCTAGGGTTTTTTTAGTTTTTTCTCGGGTTTGGATTTGGTATGGTCTGGGTTTGTATTGTTGGGTAATGGGCATGTAAATGGGTTTGGGTTTGTAATAATAATAATAATAACAATAATAATAACAATAACAATATAATATAATATAATAATAATAATAATAGTAATAATAATAATAATAATAATAATAATAATAATAATAATAATAATGGGTTGACAAATTTTGATTACAAGAAATAAAAAGTTTAACACTTGCAGCGTTTTTAAAAATAAATGCCACTAATGAATTGAAATAACGGTGTTTGTTAAAAAAGCGCCACAAATTATGTATCATATTGCGGCGTTCTTTAAAAAAAGTCACAAACTATGTATCGTATTGTGGTGTTTGTTAAAAAAAGCCACAAACTATGCATCCTATTGCGGTGTTCGTTAAAAAAATGCCATGTACTATGTACCCTATTACCGCATTTGTTTAAAAAAGCCAGAAACTATGTACCCTATTACAAAGTTTGTTAAAAAAAGCAACAAACTATGTAACCAATTGCAACGTTTATTAAAAAAACACCACAAACAATGAGTTTGTTACGACATTTATGGTGTTTTATTTATAAACACGGGGATAAGTGTAAACATAGTGGCATTTTCCCTCAAAACGCCGTTATAAACCTATTTTGTAATAGTGATTTATTTGTATGAAAGTTATAAAATAAAGACAATAAACAAAAGCATATCATGTCTAGAGATCCCGTCAACACAACGTGTTGCACAATAACAATTAATAATAGTAGAGTTTGATATTTGCAACAATGAAATTAAATCATTTTTGTTAACTTTTTTTAATTTATTGGCAGCACGCTCTACAGATATAACTGTTTAAACTCATCAATTTTAGAAAAAATATATTCTATTTTACTACTAAAATCACTTAATAGGTTCCATTATTATTATATTTATTACAAGAAGTAATGAAAGAGACATATATACTTAAACCGACCAATAAACCACCACATGTATTGAAAGGATCTTATGCTATGTAGAATGGAGCCAAGGATGACACTTTTATAAGTTTCAAGGTTTCATGGTTTGGCTGAGGTGCATGGTTTGGCAGCTACTGTTAATGGAGTTAGAAGAAGGGTGGCAAGATATCAATTTTGAGCTAGATTCTTCTTTGGTGGTCAACAAATTCAATCGGGAGGAAGACGACGAGTCCACAATCGATGTCCATATGCAACCTATTCATCGTAATTGAAATTTTTTAAAACGTTGTATAGTGGCTTATGCAAGTAGAGACGCTAATAGAGTGACCCATAACCTAGCTAAGAAAGCTCTTCACTCCGATATTTCTTTTTTATTTGGCTCGGATTGTCTTGAGTTCCTTGTCCACAATGTATAAACGATATGTTAATTCGGTGATTAATAGAAGGCTGGACACTCTTTTCCTCTTATAAGATCCAATCTTGTGTTAGTAGAAGGAATTTTTAATGAGGTAGACTATTTTTTTTATAAAAAACAAGGTTTCATATTTGATATCCTGCACCAACATTGATGTTTGGTCCACAATGTTGAAGACTATTAAATATTCCAGTAAATAAGTAAAAAAATAATTTATTTATTATTTTAATATTTCAAAAAACTAAGTACAAAGTTTGAGGAAAGTAAGAAAAGAAAATTAATATGTTGACAAGGGTGAGTGTTGCATGCAAAAGATTACTTCATTTTGTTGGTAATTTTATACCCAAATCATCTCTAGGAATTATATAAATTGAATGCTTAACCTAAAAGAAATAAAGAAATTGAATATTTCACCTTACTCTTACCTGCAAAGAAAATGTTTGGAGTGTGTGATTTTCTTTTCAAATTTCAACCAACCCTAAGAGATTATGAAGAAAATATTAGAAAAAAAAACCCCAACATTTAGGAAAAGAATATAAAAAATAACGAGAAAATTCCCAAAAAAAATGGTATGGAAGGATTAAAAATTGAATAATCTTATTGTTTATATCGAAATAATAATCCGTCCAAAAATCTCATGTTTATATAATATTTCATTGTTTTGTAGTGAATTTTGCTTCACTTTGAGCTTTTATTTTTCTATATAAAGCATCTTGCGCTTGCTGATATTGTGTGTTCCACTCTCTTTTCCTTGTCATTTCAGGATAATGGAAGTTTTACACTTTGTATTTGGTGTTTTTGGTGGGGTTTTCAACTTTAGTTAGTTTGTTAACGTTTATAAAAATCGTCATTTTGATCTTTTTGAAATATTTTAGCTTCTAACGTTTGGCTAGATAATCATTTTAATTTTTTTTAAAAGTATAATGACGATCTTTTTGAAATATTTTAGCTTCTAACATTTGGCTAGATAATCATTTTAATTTTTTTAAAAGTATTTTGGCCCCCAACTTTTAATTTAGGGCATAAACTCTCCTAACGTTTAACTGAATAGTCACTTTCATTTTAGGATAAAAGACCACTAGTTTGGAATGTTAATCATCTTTTAACTAATAGTTTCCATTCACGGAGGGACCTTGTTGTCTCAAAATGAAACGTTGTGGGTTAAAATGCTCAAAAAGAAATAATAAGCCAAATGATAGTTTTGATAAACATTGGGGGGTTAGTTTTAGCAATATGCCTTTAAATGTCTATTCTAATTTGTGTTTTTTCTTTGAAACAGGAAATGCCACTGCTTTATTCCTCTTCTTGGCTCCAATGTATGTAGAACAGAGCAACCATTCTCTGTTTCTCTTAAAAACAAAGTCAGACAAAGATAAATCTTTTTGTGGGATTGTTATTCTTGCTTGTTCAAAATATAAATATTGTCAATTATCATTACTTACGTTATGTTTTAATTTTTGGGTAAATTACATGTTTATATCTTAAATATCACTTTTTTCCATTTTAGTCATCTAACTTTTTTTGTTTCAAGATCATATTTAATGTTACATTTTGATTTTATTTTGGTCACCCACCGTTAAAATATTAATGGTGATGCCGACGTGTCATCATAATGTAATGTCACATCATCATTAATTAGTTTTAAAAAATATCACGCGAGCAATTTTGCTAACTTTTAGACTTGAAAAGAAACCAAAACGTAATGCTAGGCATGATTTTGAAAAACACTAATAGTTAGGTGATTAAAATAGAAAAAAGTAATAGTTTGAGTATTAAATGTGTAGTTTAGCCTTATTATTATTATTATTTTTGAAGGATTACGTTCATGAGGATCATTAGAAGCAAGTCCACAGAAGAATTCTCAGGAATACCTTATGTGATGACCTTGCTCAACTGTCTCCTCTCTGCTTGGTGAGCCATTTTCAATTCAATTTCAAAGTTTAATTATCTTTTAACCACTTGCAGTTTCTCTAATCTAATCATACATTTCAAAAATCAAAACCTTTTATTACTATTTTAATCCATTGGGCTAACAAAATCGTTCTATTGTGTTTAAAAAACGGTGAAATTATTCGATTTTTTCACAACTCATACGAAGTAGATTACTGCCACACATTTTAAACACCAAAAGAAAGAATCCATTGAATCTCTTTTATTTTGGGTAGACTAAATATTTAGTATCTCAACTATCAGTTTTATTCTATTTTAGTCACTCAATTATTTTTTAATTCAAAATCATACCTAGCTTTACGTTATAGTTTCATTCATCATTAAAAAATTTACGAATATATAGATGTGTCATCATAAGATAAAGCCACATCATCATTGGAATTTTTAAAAAATAACACATCAACAGTTCTGTTATTTTTTTATGGTAAGTGATCAAAATAAATAAAAATGTAATGTTAGTATGATTTTAAAAAGAAATAATAGTTGAATGATCAAAATGAAACACAAGCGATAGGTCGGGTACTAAACATGTAGTTTACCCTTTGTATTTTTAGGGGATTGTTGTGAAATTGTCTTATACTCATGGATTGATATTTTTGCACAATGCAATGGTCCAGATCCAGCAGACATAAGCCTCCAAACTTTCTGTTTCTTTTTCATACTTCGCTTTGATTTCATCGAATGTTTAAAATTTTAGGAAATAGCTTTTGGATTCTCTTTTTGATCCGATTTGTTGGTTGTCATTCTTTTGCACTTGTAAATTTCAAGGAGAGAAAAACAATGATTATTTAATTTTTTTAAGAATAGAGAAAAACAATGTTTAAACAACCGGACATTCTTGAAATTTTATATATTATCATATTTACTATAAACTAAAGTCAAGTTTTTTTTTAAAAAAAATATTATAACTTTTATTTTATTTTTAAAGAATATACCAAAATTCTTTGGCTCTTGTAATTTTCAAGGAGAAAGAGGGAATGATTTTTAATTTTGAATAATAATGTTCAAACATCTAAACATTCTTCAACTTTTCTGTAGGATAATTTCAAACTTAGCCCCTAACATCTATCAAAGTAGTCATTTTAATCTCTATTATATGTTTTAGCACTTTTGCCCCTAAAGTTTCATTTTGAGGCAAAAAGGTTCTTTTATGAGTGGAAATTGTTAGTTAACAAACTATTAATGCTCTAAAATAGGGGTCTTTTATCATAAAATGAAAATTTAGGAGCCAAAATACTACAAAAAAAAGAATAATAGCCAAAATGACTATTCAGTCAAACATTAGGGACCTTTTTGCCATAAAATAAAATGTCGAGAGTCAAAATACTCCAAAATGAGAATATATGTTAAAATGATTATTTTAATAAATGTTAGGAGTTAATTTTGATATTATGTCTTCTATCTATCATAACAAAGTCCAGTTTATAAAAATATTGTAATCTGTTTTTGGCAAATTCTTTAGGTATGGCCTTCCCTTTGTATCAAAAAACAACCTTCTAGTATCAACAATCAATGGCGCCGGAGCGGCAATCGAGTCCATTTATGTGCTTATCTTCATCTTCTATGCACCTAAAAAGGAGAAAGCTAAAATCATTGGGCTCTTCACATTTGTACTCACTGTTTTCTCTGCTGTTGCACTCATCTCCCTCCTCGCCCTCCATGGAAATGCTAGAAAGCTCTTCTGTGGCCTTGCTGCTACCATTTTCTCCATCATCATGTATGCTTCACCTCTTTCAATCATGGTCAGCTCAACTTCTTCCTCCAATTTACTTTTTATTCCTAATAGTTAAAACCGTTTTTCCCTTTTGGGTTTTAATTTTGTTATTTTTTTAATGTATTATAGAGGCTGGTGATCAAGACTAAAAGTGTGGAGTTCATGCCATTCTTCTTGTCACTCTTTGTATTCCTCTGTGGTACTTCATGGTTCATCTTTGGCCTTCTTGGCCGTGATGCTTTTATTGCTGTAAGTTTATTTTTCTTTTTAATTTATGATGTCGTGGTAGGAAAAGACAATAGATAACGTTACCTTAACCACGTCGTTATCGTTTCGTCACATTTAAGTCAATTTCATGAAAAATAATGAACTTGAGGCCAGAAAGAGACATCATAGAAGTTTAAGGGTTAAAATGATTAAATTAATAAATTTAGTGTTTGGTGAAAATGAACTGACGTGCATTTGTAGATCCCCAATGGTTTTGGGTGTGGGCTGGGGTTCATGCAGCTCGTCCTTTATTGCATCTATCGCGGCAACAAGGGCTTTGAAGAAACAAAGAATTCCAATGCCAACGAAACTGTTGTGATGGAACATGAGAAACAAGCAAATGGAAAAGTTGCTCAACATGAACATGTGTTAGTTTGATCAGTTGTAATGGAGAAGTTCCTGCCCCAATATGTTCAAAAGACCTTCAGTTTTGCATTCCACCTCTTTGTAATGACAAAGTTGTAGCTTAGATGAATGAGTTGAATTACAACAAATGAGAAAAATGGATGGTAAAACACAAGTCCTTTAATATGTATTTCATCATTTTATTGCGGCAAATTCCTTGTTGCTGATTGCAGCAAAGACTTGAATTAATATATATATATATTGTATGAATGAATGAATTTGGGGAGAGAGCTTGTAATCTATTTGACGAAAAAAATTGATATATCTCTGAAAATGTATCCACATCTATGACTTAACTAGAGTCCATACTTCTCGGATGGTTATAGCTTAACTATTAAATATTTGACAGTTTTACGTGATCTATCAGAGTAAATCAAAGATTCAATATTCACGTCTATTTAGAAAGCTAACATATAAGTAATCATAATGACTCTATACTTGACATCACCAGCTAAGATCATTATAAATACTTCTCAATTGAAAAGGGGACTCTCTTGATTACAACACACAAACTTACATTGCTTATCTCTCTCTACCTGCACTCTTCTACTCATATAAATCTCCATTGACTCGCACGGCTAAATCTCCACTAGCTATGATTCTTCTTCCAATCTAGAAGGGGTGAATCGTCAACTATCAATGAGATCAACTTGTTTACATCAACAAGTCTCACAAATTACCGAAGAAACCTACATGTTCGCATCAATAATTAGTGCAGTGAGCGTGAAACACTCCAAAAAAGAATCATTTTTGATGGATCTCTAAAACCACCCATTTATTATGAAGAGCTACATCAAAACACTAGTGGCCCAATAGACTACGAATGTAGAGCACAAGGTTTTTAACCTTGAGGTCGTGGGATCGAGTCCCACGGAGGGCATTTCATAATTCGGAGGTCTCTTACGGAAGTTGCTCTCAAACTGGTGTTGGGAGTAGCCTACTATCTTACCTCCCCCTTACCCCATTCATATGGGAAAAAGGGACAGCCATTGATCACCCATAATAACATTTTACCCAACCAAAATACCAGAAAAACTTTGAATATAACGAGCAAAACTCAATCAGAACCTCTAATCTTAAACGTCGAAGTGACTTAACAACAAGAACTGCTGATAAAATAGAAACTATAAAACGAAATTGTTAGCACTGTATAAAAAATAATAAAATAAATATATAAATCAAACAATCGTATTGGATATTAACCACTACCTTAGAAACAAATTCTCTTTGATGTATGTAATCATTGCTATAGGTGATCGTCCACTGAGATTAACACAATCTCTTTGCAAATTCATACACCCGAAAACCATAATGGATAGTTGGTGGTATTGTTCTTCTCTTATCATCGGAAAAAACATTAGAAAGCTTTTCGAATACTTCTTGAGAGGATTGTTTAGCAAAGGAAAATGCTTGGATAATTTTAAAAGCTGAGAATGGTATGGTATGCTTTTTATAGGCTTGACATTAGTGTTAAAATTGTCCATATAAAATCACCATAAATACTAATTTTAAATTCCAAAAATAACAGTTGATAAATTGCTATAATTAATTTGCTGTAGATGGCGGAACCTAGACACAAGCTTTTCCAAATTCATTCAAAAAATATAACTATTATAACTGTAGGTCAAACGGCTGTAGTTAATCCATGTATAACCATTGATATAAATCCAAGAATTAAGATATTGTCTGTTATGCTACGAAATTGTTACAACATTCAATGCAAGTGTACTTTTCGTATATCAAGTAATAAATTAGATACACAAGGTGTATCGGATGTCAAACTCACAGAGAGAAAATAATAAAAAATTAGAATTTTTAACTTTGAATATTAAAAGGTAAATATTGTGATTGGGTAGTAACAAATATATATCAAAGGCATTAAAAACATAATAGAAATGTCATTAACGTGATAGCAATCTGGAGAGCAAATAGACCACTAGACCAATAAATGTTGTTCTCATTTGGCAATTGATAGTATGATTATGTTGTGGTAATACAATTATGCAGCATAAAATGATTAACACATTAATCCCCTTTCAAATATTAAACACTTAGCAAATAAAAATGATTTTTCACCAATTTCATTAATCAAACAGTTAGCAAAGCAATTACAATCGGTAACATACATCTCCAAATGCTTAAAGTCACTTTTGAAAGTATCGTTGATGTACATAAGTAGCATGCAATCTTAATGATTTCCATTTCTTAAAACAACTAATAGTAACATACTTAATGATATTTTCATTTCTAAAAATATCAAATGAAGTTCCAGCATATAAAAGTATCGATGCAAGCAAAAAAAAACATTTTATCAAACACCTTATGTTTGATTCCAAACAACACCATAAAAATAAATCATTCAAACTAAAAACGTTTCTTCTCTCTTTCAAGTAAAGACACTAAGAAGCTTGAACCCCAAATGGTCACCGTTGTTATGATGACATTGCTACACCATTTCCTGCTACACTCCCAGACAGATTCAAACTTCCATGGCCGATGGAGGAAAAAAGAAAATAAAATGAAAATAAAGAAAAGTTTAAGAAGGGTGTCAAAATTTTGAAGGGATGCTTTATTTATAATCCCCAAAGGTTAAAGTATCCACTAATAGGAAAAATATGATTTTCCTATATTTTTTAAGCAATTTTACAGTCTTATTGGACAATTTTTCGATTCAGAATTTTCTTATAATTTCATACTTAATCACTAGGATCTACAACATCGACACAAAAATCTAGTATAGCATCAGTGCAAAGAAATGTCTACAACATAAATAATGTCATAACATCAGAATACCAAATTACAACAAAATATCCTAAAATAACCCAAAAGATATAAACTCGCCCCTAATGTGAAATTGATGTAAAATATGATAAAATAAATCTAAAATGATCCTAATATAATCATAATGATACTAAAATTCAAGCTTAACCTAGGTAAAAAGATCCTAAAAGATAAATATTTTAGAGAGTTATCACATACCAAAACCTAAGTGTTTGCTTGTCCTTAAGCAACAACATGCATGAAATTTAACTATTTCTAAACAATAATGTTGTAGAACAATGCTACCAACCCAAATCAACTTTTTGATGTTCATTTTTTCAACTCTCAAACTTTTCATTGATTCAACAGAAGTGAGCATCAAATGATATTTGATTAGGAAATGTAATGTCAACTTATCAAAATCAGAATCCACAGAGTTCAGTAGAGTGCAAGCAAGGTGTATCCAATCAATACTTAGCTAAATTAGAAAAATATTTCATACTCACCTATTGGATTTAAATTTTATAGAAACACTCTAACCTATACTAATGTTGGAATCACCTGTAGGCTACTCCAGTTTATCATGACTAGTATTTAGCTTAACTAGGGCTTCAGTTCATAACAACTACCTTCCAGTACTTGAGTAGTAAGATGTTGTCAACAATGACCCCCTAGCCTTTTAGGTAAATTCATCCTGTGAAGACTTTCATTAACTCATGTTATTTGGGACTATATTTCCTACTTAATATTCACTAAGCATACTAGACTTTCCTTAGTAGCGGAGTGTCCTAGAACAATATGTTGTCATGATTAATTTATTTAGCTAGAGCCAATTGGGCATCTCTAGCAATTCTCAATTTTTTAGCAATAGATTGCTATAACATCTAAAAAGATATGAGATTTAACGTTAAAAAATTCTAATGTGTCCATGTATTGAGAATATACACCTATAGTGTAAAAGGGTTTATATAGGCCCTAATCCTAACAAGTATCTAAAACATTCTCATGACATTTAATAATTTAATTATTCATCATCGAGCATCATAAAAATTTCATAAAAAAAACTTCATTATTCTAGAAACATTATACATGCAACATTATATATGTAATTTCCTAAGTTCTCTAAACAATTTGAACAATAGTGCAAAAAAATGTAATAAAATGCAAAACTTATAACACATATGACTAAACTTAAAACAATTAAATGACAAAAAACAAATGGACAAGACACCTTTAAACCTAAGATGTGCGTTGTCCTCATTGCATGCAACGAGAAAAAAATTATACATAAAAGTAAATGAGAGAAGGGAAACAATACTCCCCATAACGAGTCTTTCTTGGGTTGCAAAAAGTTAAGTGGATATTCTTTACCGATGTCTTCTATTTCAGCTGCATATATTTGTTTCTTAATGGTGGATAATGCTACAACACTGACTGACTTTAATTGTAGTTGATGGTGTGAAGTAAATATAGCATGTGTTTGCTGATGGTGCTAAGATCAATGTGGAAACATGACATGAAAAGAAAAGAAAACTAATAAAATAACAAAATCTAAAAGAATAAAGATAAAAAATAAAAAAATATAAACAAGTCGGCCTTGAGTTCATAGAACCAAATTGAAACAATGCTTTGTGGTATATTGTTTTCATAGTGTTTCATCGTGTGCCCATTACACATGCTTCAACATTCATCCAAGTTTACTTGCTTTGTTCCCTTGATAATACCAATAACATAGCATTCAACATTGTCATCGCATTGCATCGTATTGAATGTAATATGTTGGTCATTTATATAAATTGTGAGTTATCCCTTGTGAGCATCAACAAATGTTTTTGTTGAAGAAAGGAAAGGTCTACCTAGTATTATTAACAAATCCTTGTCGGTTACATATCCCAAGATAATGAAGTCTGTTGGAAAGATGAATTTGTCCACTTTTACTAGCACATTGTATATTTGTCCTTCAGAATGGACAATGGATTGGGCGACAAGTTGTAAGGTAACATTTGTGGGTATTTCTTCAATCCCAAATTCCCTGAAAATAGACAAATTCATGAAGTTAATTCTAGAACCTAAATCACACAATGCTTTAGCAATGAATTGATTACCAATAATGCAAGGAGTATTATATCTCCCTGGATCTTTCAATTATGGTGTAAATATGCTTGTGACAATGGCGCTACACCCTTCAGTGAGTGCAATAATTTCAAACTCGC